ATAGTTCAGTGCTTTCTATTCATCCAAGAGGCACGAAGATGTATCAGGACTTGAGAGAACACTACTTGTGGCCATGAATGAAGATGGAGATAGTCCGATTTGTGTCAAAATGCCTAATATGTCAGCAGGTGAAGGCTGAACATCAGAGGACAACTAGGTTATTGCATCCCCTTCCTATTCCTAAGTGGAAGTGGGAACATGTTACGATGGATTTTTTCATAGCTCTACCGAGAAGCCAGAAGGGAAACAACGCTATATGGGTAGTAGTAGACCGACTCACCAAGTCGGCTCACTTCATACCATTTAGTGTTAGACAGACGACAGAGAGTTTAGTGGAGCTATACATGAGGGAGGTAGTACGCTTACATGGGGTGGCGGTTAGCATTATTTCTAATAGAGACGCACGATTTTTATCACACTTTTTGAGGAGCTTGCAGTAGTGTCTTTGGACTAGAATGAGTTACAACATGACTTACCACCCTCAGACAGATGGACAATCAGAGAGGACTATACAAATTTTGGAGGACATGTTGCGGGCATGCATGCTAGATTTCAAGGGATCTTAGGAAGATCACTTACACTTTGTGAAGTTTTCTTATAATAACAGTTATTAGGCCAACATCCAGATAGCACCTTATGAGGTATTATATTGCAAAAAATGTAGAACTCCTACATGCTGGGATGACTTAGGAGAACGGCGTTTGCTAGGTCCTGAGATGATAGTGCAGACAATATATAAAATAAAGACGATACGGGAGTGTCTTAAATCAGTAGGATAGACAAAAGAACTAGGCTGATGCTAAGAGGAGACCTTTACAATTCCAGGTTGGAGAGCATGTTTTCTTAAGGATATCCCCAACTAGAGGAGTTATCAGATTTGGTAGCCACAGGAAGCTTAGTCTACGTTTCATCGGTCCTTTTGAGATATTAGAGAGAGTAGGAGAGGTGGCATATCGGTTAGCTTTGCCTCCATCATTGGAGGGAGTGCATGATGTGTTCCACGTATCACAACTTCGACGATATGTGCGAGATGAAACCTACATCCTAGACATTGCAGAGCTTAAGATTGGGACAAACTTATCATATGAGGAGCGACCAATGAAGATTTTGGATATAAGAAGGTCCTCAAGAACAGAACTATCCCGCTTGTTTAGTATCTTGGGGACATCATCGACCTGGTCAGGCAACCTGGGAGCGGGAGAAAGACATTCATCAATGATATCCACATCTTTTTGCTATAGGTGACTTTTAGTAAATTTCGAGAACGAAATTTCTTTTCTTAGGTGGGTAGGATGTAATAATCAATATTTGTTATACGAGATCCACAATCATTTTTTGGCAAACCCTATGCATAGGCCCACATCATGTTGGAATTGAACAAAGAAAAAAAAGGCTCCCAAATGCCCATCCTAGAAAGCCCATGAGTACACAAACTCAACAAATCCATTGATTTCCTCAAACGTGTGAGATTCTCAGAGGTTGGTTCGGAGGTAGAAAAAAAAAGAGATTTGCCCAACAAATTTTACGTGAATTGATCCTCCCACATCCAATCATGAGATCCATTGTAGTTTTTGTTACAACTACCCGGTTACTACTAAATAAAAATTCTTAGTTTTAGGGTTTCCCCACTAAATCTTTTCCTACATAAACAAATCCCCTCTTCTCCCCATCTCTATTCCAAAAAAGTAGGAAAAAGAAAACGAAAAAAAAGAAAAAAAGAAGAATAACCCAACCGAGAACAAGAGGAAGAGGAACGAGATTTGGATTTTTTTTTCTTTTAGGATTTGTGGTTCATAGTCTTTTCTTCGACAAATCGGCAAGCATTCTTTTCATCAAATCTATTACTAGTATAGTTTTGATTCATGCAAGTATACCTTCCTCAATTATTATTATTAAGATTATTTTGATTTTATTCATGCAAGCATCTCTTTCCCCAATTAATTTAGAACTTTTTTTTATTAGCTTCTGTTTCATGCAATACTATCTTTTTCTTCCCCTATTTTAGTTCATAGAAATAAATAGTAGAAATTTGTGTTTAAAATTATTAGAGATTTTTTATGTTGTTATATCTTATTCGGTAAATAAATAATATGATTTATAATACTAGGATCTATATTTTTACTATCTTATTTATTCATTATATTTTCCTCTCCATGATCTTAACATTTTTATTAATATTAGTACTATTAATTTCACATAATTTTTGTATAAATCAGAAGATAAATTTTTTGACTTATAAAAGACATATAAATTTATCTTTTACTTATTTGGAAGTGTTTATTTAGGATCTTAAATGAAAACTTAAGTTAACTTATTATCTGCATCAACCATGACATGAAAGATTAATTGGTTGTAGTGGTTAGTTGCTTTGGACAATGACACACGGTTCTGTAGTTCGAATCCTATACTCTTCATTTTTTCCACAAATAAATGTAATTTTGGTCAATATAAACATAAACTTATACCTTTCTGTATTACTGGTGTCATATAAGCAAAGTTGGTGTTGTGATCAGATGCTTTAGATGATAACTCCTAGGTTAGGAGTGCAAAATCCTATAGCCAAAAAAATTTTAGTAGTTGAGCCTGAGTTTTAGTTGTTGGGACTGAGTTTCCTTTGTGGGGCTTGACTTTTTACTAGAATTTCATGTTTGTTAAATAATGTGATGGTTTGCTAACAGAAGAGGGAATGATGTCGGTTTTGGGTGCAGGGTTAATATTAGTAGTTTTATTTAGGGTTAGGTGATTATTTATCCAATTCTCTCTTTTTGTCATTCAAATATTAGCCTCGTACCAGCTTTTAACTTATTTTATTTTAGTGAACTTGTTAGCTCATTTTGAGTACTTTGTTATACTTTGAAGTATATTGTGTGGTTGAAATCCGTGTTGATCAGTAATGACATCAAATAGGCTAGATTGTGCATGAAGACGACTTCCATCAAAAATATCATTTATAAGCGTGCTTTTCATAGCATGACTATACCCTCGATATCGATATCCCGATATGAGGGTTTTCCTTGGCTATTACTATTATAGCATCGACTAGACGATGCACGCTTCTTGATTGGACAAGTTCTGGGTCACGGTTATCTTTCATTATTTTATGAAAGTTGTTCCACAGTAACTCTGTGGTTAGTGCACAACATTTCATGCATAGTTATTTCGATTAAACAGAAAACATAGGGTTTATAAAGGGGAATTTGATGGAGAATATAACATGTATATAAACGGGCACATGTGTATTACTAATATCCTGAGTTATATAAACAAGGACCAAAGGGCCAATACTTGACTTGGAGCCGTGTTCCCGGGATGGTTTACGGGGAACCGATTTATATACATGAAAATATTCTTCTCTAATTCAAATAACATCTAAAATAATAATAATAGGCTTGTAGCTTGGTGATGGACATTATCTTGATCTCCTAATTAGCATTTTCTTTGATCACTGTTCATTTAGAATTCATCTTTTCTTTATATGCCACCTACACTTACACGTGCATAATTTTCTCATTTTACATGCTTGTTGGGAGTTTTCTGACTCCCCTGGTGTTTATGTGCCCCAGAATAGGGAACTGTTCTTTTTCGCAGGACCGAGAGTATTTCGAGGAGAAGGCTCAGGGGCAATGATCACCGTTCATTCTGTCATTTCTCAAGTTCAGTTGTTTTAGGTAGTTTTTGTAGGCTTTTCTTTAGCCATATATTTTTTCCCCAGACTATGATGTATATTACTTTCTCCCATTTTGGATAGTTGTGGACTTGTCATAGAACTCTGTAATTTCATATATTTCTTCATTTATCTAATTTCTTTGTTATCTTAGTTACATGCTCTACGTAGTAGTTCTTTTGGCAATATATCTGTATACAGGATGATCCAGAGGCGTGAATGTGACCGAATGGTTGCATTGCCTGCCGAGTAACGTTCCAAACTATTACATTTTGGAATCAGGGCGTGACAACTTCAGTTGATGATAACTTGACCTGAGGTCCAGCTTAGAAAACACCATACCATGCGATAGTTTAGATACAGGTTGGAATATCCATACAGGTAGCGGGGTGTTAATTTCTAGTAGGGAGTCTAAGAGATGCCCGGTAGTAGTTTGTGGCAGGGAGCTATATACAAACTTGTTGGTGACTGGTTTACTAATGAGTTTGATATCATTTTGGGGATGGATTGGCTTTATAATTTCCATGCCATTATCGATTGCCAACACAGAAGTGTGGTGTTCAAGATACCATATCACCCAGAGTTCAAGTTCACAAGTGGTAGCAAAGTAATGGAGCAGCCAGAGTATCGAACAGGCATGGACCTGGATAGATGTAGAGGAGAAGCCCGTACCTGCAATTGTCCAAGACCCAATATTATCCTCTATTGCGATTGTTTACATTTACCTTTGCTTTTCTCTATTTATTTCGTTGTTTCAGATGTTAGGCTACAGCAAACTAAAGTTACTGCAATGGCCACTGTACTTTTTCTGCCAAATACCTGGTAACTAATAATTTCCGTGACCATTCAGCATAACTGTTTTCAGCTTTCTTTAGTTTGGGTGCTGCTAATGTTTGCTTCTTCCACTTGATATGTTGTCTACGAATTCGATGCAAATTTAATTATCACTGTCAAAAGAGAATTGAACACCATTTTCCTTAACATTTCTAGTTGCATTTAAAAAGTCTTAGCAGTTGACCCAAGAAAATTGATGAAGACTCCCTTGGATCAGAACAAGAGGTTGCACGAAATTAACATAAAATTTGATAACGTCCAACAATACAATGAACATAAAACATCAGGGATAGAATATTTGCCCACTGTGATCTAATATTGTTGACAATCAGAACTAAACATCTTTAATAGAGCCAGTTAATTAGAAGATGATTAGTTAGTAACAAGAGAAGGAGAAATGTCGATAATTCAACATGGAAACCCACAGCAGAGTTCAATCTTTGTAACCTTAAAATGAACTACTTCCAGATATCACCAAGTATTAAATCTGGTACAAGAAAAATAGTAAAAAATGCCCAATACTATAGCCTATGGCAGAAAGAACACAAGTAAACCATGTTGAAATGAGAGAAGTGGTGTAGAAATCTTGAAGTGAACATTTTAGGAGAACCAAAGAGAAAATAGAGCAGTAATTCCCTCAACAAAACAACCATTCGCATCCAATCCAGTGCCCTCATCCCCTTATAACATACAAGAATAATCAACAAGAAACAAAATTAAGAGAAGGGAACAAAACCACAATAACCTCAAATTCCTCCCTCAGGGACAAAAAGGCATGGCCAAGCTAGTCCTATGACTGGGAATGTTGAAGTGCCTAATCCTCCCTTCTTGCTCCTTCAAATACCCTCCACACAAAAACTCCTTCGAATACTTATCCTCAACAATCCTATCAACATCATGAACAAATACATCAGTATCCCCTTCCTTCTTCCCCCTCGCCAGCATTCCAGCCGTGTATATTGCCCCCATCCTCCCTGGTGCCTCCGGAATCCACCCGGTTGGCGCATCAACCATGATCACATCCCACTCCATGTCATGAACCACCCTTGGCAACTCCTTCAATGCCAACCTACACTCTGAAAACTTCAAGTCACCAATAGAAATGCACTCTGGCATTCTCCCTGACTCCATCAGATCATCTGCCATTGTTACCTTAGTATCATATTTGATATGGTAAGACTCCAATTGTGGGAATTTCTCTTGGATGGTTTCTATCCATTTCTTGTCTTCTTCGAGGAAGACAGTGCGGCCTCCGTGGTTGAGGGCAGTCCACATTAGGCTGTCATGGCCAAGGCCGAAGACTAGGAAATTGCAGGGTGATTTCTTTGCGAGGACTCTGGCAGAGACTGAGATCTCACTGAGGGTTTGTTGTGGGGTTGTGTTTGAGGTGGCATAGTGAAGGATGGATTCGACAAGGGAGGGTGGGATCTTTGAGCATGAATGTATTATTGGTGTTGATTGTGTTGGGGGATATGATTGGGCTTGTGCTCTGGTTTGTGTAATTGGAGAGGGAGGAGAAGAGGAGTTTGATCTTAGAATCATGAAGATGGTGAAGAGGAGGAAGAAACCAAGCAGGATAAGCTTGAGGTTTGGGGTGTTTTGGAGCTTGGCCTTCATGCTTTTGTGGAGACCAGCCATTATGTGAGATCTATTTTGTTCTTTTGATGGAAAGAGAGAGGTGTTTTTGGGTTATATTTCTTTTCTTGGTTGAAGAAGGTGAGAGTGGTTGGGACTTTTTGTGAATTCTTAAAGGAGCAGCAAACGAAATTGAGAGGCAACTGATATGGACGGGAGACCAAACTACCTTGATTCTGGTTGAAGTCACATGGTTGTTGTAGTTTTACGGGCTAACAAGTATCTCAACACATAGGACTTAAAACATTTTGTACATAGTGTGTGAATGATGCTCGTACAAGTAATGGGTATTTAATAGTATTTTTTTTCTTTTATTCCCTTTTGTTGTTGTGGGTTAGTTGATGAGGGGTGGGATTATTTTTGATGATAGACTTTTTTTTTTTTGGGTGTTAGGAGCTAAATGCTTCAGATCTAAGATAGAAAAGAGACATTTCCTTCACAGTTCAAGCAATCATTGACTTCAAGATGGCATATGGGCATGTGGTCTATCTGGAAATTTATATATTTTGAGAACATTAGCAGTGATAAAATGAATTTGTAGCACTTAATAACCGAATTTATTTTTGTTAGAACAAAAGGAAAAGAAATTAAGATAGGTAATGCAAACTTTCGGAAAATACTTGCTGTCGAAAACTAGTTCGAATCGTTGTGCATCCTAAACGCTGAGCTTAATGCAATATTCGACCTACTCTGGTGCAAGGATCGCAAAACCGAATTACGTTCAAGAACTGCTACTTAAGTGTATTGGTGAACTATGAGCTCCTTCGTTTGGCATAGAACTGGAGTCAAACAAGTACTACAATTTCTAGAGAATAGGTGACAGATCTTGTATAATTCTATTGAGTATAGGCCTTTATATATGTCTCTAACGTTGTCCAAGATTTGCCAGCACATTAATGAGAGAAACTCAAATGTCAAGTTATTTACACAAACTCAGCCCACTAACTTCAGTGATTGGTCTGTTTGATAAGCTCACTAAATAGAACAATTCAGAAGCCCAATAATCACCTAGACTCAATAATCTTGTCAGGTTGGAAGCTTAATAGTCACTCCCTAGCTAGCTCAAAGTGTGTTACAAAGCAGCACGTAGTGGCTGACAATACAACACATCTGCGTCATGATGCCAACATGTTAAGTGAAACGTGCACCTACAAAGCATTCATTGCACTACCTGTCACGCCCCGCTTCCCAAAATACCGGGGAATCGGAACGTGAACAAGCCCGCGACGTATTAAACTGAGAAGAGATAAGTGTTAGACCCCGTCTTCTCAATCTAATACGCTAAACGTAAAGAAATACAAACGAAGGCACAGGTCCCCGATCACACTAATGAGAATATAATAAACAACTCAGAACCAAAAGATACATATCACAACTGAAATGATCATCCAGACATAATATTCGGGCCAAACATGCCCTTATACAAACTATCTGAATGAAATACTGGAGAATATAAAATACAATGATCAGGCGGAAAAGGAAATGCTACGAAAATAAACTGAAAGAAATAACTGAGCTTCAACTCTTCTTCTGCTTCGTCTACAAGACACTCCTACTGAGAATACTCGGCTTTGGCGCATCTCCAAGATGAACATGTTCTTCTTCTAAGTTTGACGTACACCAGAGACTAGATGGAATTAATACTTAAAAATCTATAACAAGAGACGTAGTACGTCGAGCGAAATAATCCAAACAATGAAACCCTCATGTATATACCATATGTCTCAAATTATAGATAATTAAATATTAATCCCGATCTATGTATGAAAAGAAACACAACTGGCCTACATCTCACAAGAATCCATAAATCCTAACCAAAGTAACGACACCGATTCATCTTGATCTAGCAAACCAACTCCAGTGGCGACACCGATCCACTGGTAACAAGTCATGTAACTAGCCATCCTATAGCAGGTCACTGGTTCACATCTCACACAGAGTCAACGCTCATATCATCGGATAACTGACTGTTCACAAATCCTCTACGTGCATCCAATCCTGCTACACATGCGGCCTAGAGGACTACACGTAAACCGTTTTCTGCCTGGTTCGAACTTCAAACAGAACCGTGAAGAAATAAATTTCCCACTGACCAAAGTGATGTACACACTTCACTTTAGCCCTACAAACTAACCCCGATGGCGACACCAACCACGGGAGCGAGCCTGGAAGATACATCAACAGTCTTATCCGACAACATGAACATTAACTTCCCCATCCCAACTCTCTTGTTTTTCTAAGCTAACATATACACAGGTTTCTAAATCTTAAACAGGACACACCAGGCCACACTAGTCATGAATTTCTAACGGTTCTCAGACATAACCAAGAGTAATAAATGCAACTAATCATATACAACAAGATCATAGCATATCACATAATTAAGAAACATAAATCATGAAAATTCATAATAATCCTTTTTCTAAAATAAATCTTTTAAAAATATTTATAAATGTTCTAAAATAATTCCTTTTATAAAACTTTCTTAAATTATTGAAATTATACTAAATTGATACGTATTCTAAAATAAATTCTTTTAAATTATAATTATTCTAAAATAATTCTTTTGTCAATCAAATTCTATTGTTTTATTATAATTACTCTAAAATGATTTTTCACCAAAATAATTTATTATAATTATTTTAAAATGATTATTTTGTCAAATAAATCCTTAAAAAAATCATAAACTAATCTAAAATAATTTTATCTTATTTTATCTTTACAGTATCTATATTCAAAATATATTTTTAATATCATTCGTTCAAATAAATCCGTACA